ACAATAGCCATAGAACAATAGCGGTCTATAATATGCTATGAAAGCAAATTCCAAGCGTTTCTGATGAACAATAAACCTATCATTCAAATACTAAACAAAAAGCCCTATCAGAAAATATCATTGTCAAGAGATCTATGGAGATGAATAAGGTTATCAGACTCTATCTCTAATTTCATTCCATTTGGTGATGATTCAAACGATTAACTACATCATATCATATTACATAATGAATACACGATGAATCACTATCTTCAATCTGTTATTGCCAATTCCACATTGTTAGGGAATAATCTTTTTTTACACAGTTAAATGTCACTATGAAAACTTTATATAGCTATACCCATGTTGTCTATCGTATTTATATTCATAGCGACAATTCTAAGGTTATTCGCGTCAGTCTATTTTATCAGTCAGCATAATTCGAAGATGGAGATCGGCCATATTTATAGCTTTCTGAATACCGGTCATTGGTATTAATACATCGTGAAATAAGGTGAAACATTGAGTTGTCGATTATGGACGTTTTAAGCGATCGCGAGAACAAATTTACAAAGTTTGTAACACGATTCTTAGAAATGGATGAAAAAAAAACCATATCAAAAGATGGCAAGAGAATTAACCTTTTCTTTTAAAACCGGCTTATTAATTAAACCTGGGCTTATCAGAAAGGCAGATTTACAACTTTAATAACCATCAACAAGTCTAATCACCATGGTGATAAATGTAAACAAAACAGCGAAGCTTTTCTAAATCATAGTTGACACTAGATTTACCTTGCTCGACTATATATAAACAGTGTACTATATCACAATAGAGGTCAGTACTGGCCAATATACATATATACCTACATACTGGTCATCTAGTTTATACTGACCAGCTGTTGAACCTATAGACACAATAACAATACTACTGTCATGATAAAATCTAATGAAAATATTCAACACCCTTGGACAGATATCACAAAAAAACATGGTCTGACCCCTTCCACTGTTATGTGAACTTCTAGTATATAGAATTCGTCTTGGAATGTATTTTATTAATAATCCAATGAATACCTGTAGATTACCGTCTGTTATATTAATCAACCAATGAATATCTGAATATTATTGTTTATGTTAGTCAACCAATGACAATATAATTATTTGGTGATAATCGTGATTGATACATGTCATCTGTATCATGTTATTCCGTCCTATCTAACATTATGAACATATTCTCCATGACGATCAATTACATTACCTTAATAAAATAATTACATTATCCATATCTGTCAATAGAATCTACATCAAATATAACACCCAAACAATATGCAGTCGTATCGGATATGATCAGGTGATAGCTCCATACATGTTCCCACCTAATTTCCTTATCTACCAAATGGATGGGGTGAGACTGTTCCTGATCTTTAGGGAAACATAATTTAGCAGATTAATCTACAGCACCCACCCATAACACTGTAATAACTTCTAACGAACTTGGTGCAAGTCTCTGAGGTGGATCATGCACAGTACCGAGATGTAAAACGTGTGAACTAATTAAGTGTAAGACATAATAAAAAGCACATCTGCTCTAAATGATTATATTTTGAAGTTTCCTGCAGGGCGTTAGACAACATTCCGTACAAATAATAATTTAATATACTGAAGTGTTACACATGTTTAAAACTAGTTTAAACTATGTATCTATATATTATAACTATAAAATTAGAATGTCCATGTACAGAAATCAATATAAGCATAAACATTTAAATATAATATATACTTGCGATTACAATTACAAGATATAATCCAAAAACATACTCTAAAAACAAACGCCCACAGCAGCTTAATCGTCCCAACGTCGACAAGAGTTGTCGCATATATATTCTTTTGTGGGTAATGGGGGGCGGGGGGCATTTACAAGACAATTCTTACAGATAAGATTATCATTTTCGTCGTTTGAGGAGAAATTGTTGAAATTCGACAGGCAATTTCGTTTTACAAATTCAGATAATGCATATAAATTTCAAAGATCGGATGATAACTTTTGTCGTTAGAGTGTTCACAAGGTTCAGAAAATTGGAAAAAGGACCATGACTCTAGATGTAATTTACGGAAATTGCCGAAATTCTTCAGGTGTCTTCATTTCACCAATTTAAATAGTGCAAATAAATTTCATACCTATCGGATGATAACTTTTGTCGTTAGAGCGTCCGCAAGGTGCAACAAAGTGAAACAAGGGCCATAACTCCTGAAGAAATTAACGGAAATTATTGAAATTTCCATGTACACGTATAAAATTGAATATACAGTGCATTCAAATTACTTTATCCTGGATGAAGTTAAATGATTAGATGAAGTTTTGACAAAATATATCGTAAATAGTATCGATTGACAAGTACCATTGCTACGATAATAAAAGCATTTTCTAATCAACACTTTATTTCCAGCATCCGATGCTCTAGAGAGTTGATTATGGGATTGCACGCCTTGCAGTGTAAAGAAATATATAAATAAAACAGACCTTCAATGGCCAGATTCAGCGCTTACATACTGCATTTTTAAAAACCCCAAATGAATATGAAAAAAAGTACATGAAAACAATTAAGCTATGCAATCTTTCATAAGCATGAGACGTGATATCAAAATGTCTAAATATGAAAATGGGCCCAATCCTGTGCATGATATAAGTCAATAATTTCATCACAGTGCAATGCAAAAAAATGTGTTTTATGTTTGCTGTGTATGATAATATGACAAGTAAATACCCAACTACAGGTCATGTATTATTTCCCAAAATCTGATAAGAATCTTCACAAAACGATATAATCGGCTTAGTCATGCTTATCACTCACGTATTCACAACATCATAAATGCTTTCATCCTCTCTTCAGTGTTTTAACACATGAGAAAATTAAAACATGTCTTCTAGTTCCAGTTCAAATACCAGCTGCAGCACAGACTGTACTTTAGCAAATATAATTTAAAACGTTGTCACCTTAGATAAGATTTCAGTACACTCCCACACTTTTTATCAAGTTTAAGCAAAACATTGAATAGGCCCATAATTATATATGAGTAAATAGAAAATATTTTTTTCAAGGATGTCACTCAGTTCACATGCAAGATTAAAGGGACAAACCATTTAATAATATGATATATATTATTCTTATTTAGCTAAACATTTTCAAACTAGTGGACGAGGGGGGGGGGGGCTAGTCGGCTTCATATGCTAACCATCATGGGTTATTTTACGTGCATCCCATCCGAAACAACACAAAACTTTCCCAATAATCTAAAAGATGTTTTGTTATAATGCCTCAGCCCACATTATTCGAACATTAGGGAATAGGAATGTCACAAATTTAATGTAATCCTACAACAGCACAGCAGCAATACGAAATAATTCTAAGTACCTGCACGGTTGACAAAATCAATAAAACATTAGCCTCCAGTGTGGTCTATGACGACAGTAAATACTATTGTATAGGTAAATTGACTATCAACAACCAAACTCTATGATATATCAGTGTAAAGGTTTAATGTCCTCATTTTACAGTCTTCTAGCGTCAAATGGGAAATAAAATACGCGTAGGAAGATGAATATCTGAATACCATCACTGACTAAATTGGTACTATATCCGCTATAGATTAGTGATTCGCAACCACAGAGAGAAAGAGAGAGAGAGAGAGAGTGGGGGGTTCGATAACGTCCACAAGACACAAACTTGGTCATTTCGGGACTAACATATGGTTCAATTTTGTTTCAATAATTCGCTTGCGCGTAGGAGTCTTTGGCAGTGGGGGAAACCGGAGGAACCGGAGAAAATCCACGAGGTTGTACAACCGGGGAATCGAAACGACGCCAGATGACTTAATAACAGACCTTATGATACAACGGTACGCGCTAAACATTCGGCCATCCAACTCCCCTCTGTAGCATGAATACTGAAGGTAATGGCTAGGGTTATCCTATATCATGAATACTGTAGATGATGGTTAGGTATAAGAATTTGGGGGAGAGGTAATCTTTATTCATGAACACTTTGATTGCTAGGTAATCTTTATTCATTAACACTGTGATTACTAGGTAATCTTTATTCGTAAACACTGTGATTACGACGCAATCTTTATTCGTAAACACTGTGATTACGACGTAATCTTTATTCGTAAACACTTTGTTTACGAGGTAATCTTTATTCGTGAACACTGTGATTACTAGTTAATCTTTATTCGTAAACACTGTGGTTACGATGGTGACGAATGACGCTGTCCATATAGTTTAAGAATATCCAAACTGATGATTCATACATTTATTTGAAATGGCTATGGAATTGAATACTGATGTAGCTTCTAGTTTCTTAGAGCCAATCAGGTCTCAATTACTGGAAGATAGGTATGTTTGCAAACATTTGCAGGTGCATGTAGAAAAATAGCCCTTTTATTTACATTTTCAACCAAACCACAGATCAGTAAGATCTGAATGAAATACAAACTGAGAACATGCATGCAAAAATAATATAGAGAATGTTTGGTACATAATTCTGACACTAGAAACATTCGCCACAAGCTGTTCAGATTTCTATAAGATCAGCCGAAACGTCAAATAACCGTCCATAAACTAATCACGTGTGAGCCTATCCTGTTTACACTACGCTAGACATAACATATGACGTAAATTTCTATTGAGGATTGTCGTAGTCCTGGTGTATCCTATAGAAATATTTTTAAAGAAAACCCAATACAATGGTCTTGGATTTGAGCGACCATTCAACTGTCAAGCGTGCTTTAAGCTCACCTCGTCCGCTGTTTAAAATCTAGTCGCACGTTTCTTATTAAATTCAGTTATTTATAAAATACTACAAACGTGATAACAAGCTTATACCTGAAACAATACCAAATGACTGATGTTTTCTCATCAGATAATTGACGCAAAAAATTTTGAATTTCCCTATCTTTGATGAATCACAGTGATTAGCTATGCAATGTGTTTTAGTACAAATACAATATATGTGTACTTACTATAATACGGCACGCTTCGGTTATAATAATATCCAATTCCTGTTAGCCATATTTTCACACCCAGTTCAGTTTTTATAACCCAGATGACCAGAATAACATCTTCTATATAAATCGCGCCATAGAAAAAATACCATCTGTTGAAGACCTAATATTACCGATTTAACCATCACTCGGTTTTCAATGTCCCGGCTCAGTATCCAGGTTGAGTGGCCGCCTTAGTCAATATGGCAGTATCGGGATTTTTGATTGGCTCAGTGTAAACGAGTTCTGCACCTTCCGCCTACCGCGAGCATTGTCAATACGGTTGATGTATACGATAAATTATGCATCTCGCGTTCTTTCACACGTTCATCATTTATTACGGCCTTGCATTTTTAGGAATAGAAAAATGTTGTCAAATGGTCTAGTAACCTTGTTTCCTTCTCAGTGTGTAGAAACGAAAAGCGCAGACATTTTTTTTAATTTGATGAGATGGGCTCGTGAAACTATAGCAACTGAGATTCATTCCTGCAGCGCTTCAGGAGATGAGTCATGCAATAAGCCATCACAATCGACTTCATTTTGTGTTGTTTTCTATTTAGAACACGACAAATGGCTCTCACCAATAAGAGCAAGTTAAAGCATTTATTTCAATGGCCGAGCGAGTTTGATCATTTAGGCCTGGTCACAATTGAATAACTTTCACAATTGAACTACATGTTGGCCTACCTCTGGAGAATTTATCGACCAACACAATTAATCGATTAAAACAGATTGTTTTGTATACAACCAATAATTATACTGGCATAAAAAATGTTCTGGCGGAATTTTTATTTTTAAAAGAAGTATAAGTCAATTTCTGAATAATCAGATAGCCTAAAGCGCAACCTAGCGGCAAAACATCCATTAAGCAATGCAACCAGATTAAATCAGGTTTTACATAATTAAATGGATTATATAGAGTACAGGTAGTTCACCATTTAGTGACAGGGATGCGTAATGCATAATAATAATAGACACTAGCTAGTCGTGATGTATGTACGTAATACATATGTGAATACTTACATCTTAATATACAAAGATAATGACCTATAATTTATTAAACATAATAAACAGTAAAACGAAGATGTATTGTTTTGCCCGAAGCGTAAATTGGCTAGATCATTCAAGTCCTGTAACACGCTGCTATAGGTTTACGTCATAGTCATCGGTTTTCGACTTTCTGTCGTCTGCTATGGCTCAATACGCGCGCATTTGATTAATGGCAGTTCTATAAATTCCTGGTTCCAATACCTAGAAAAAGATGGATTATCGTAGATTTACACATGTTGAATTAACTCAACGGGAAAGTGTTTTAGACTGTATATTGGATTGAGGGCATTTCTCCATTTTTCATGAAATATGTCAGGATAGCTCTATTTCGGGTTATGTATTATTTAGTGGAGGGGGCGCTGGTGTCTAACATTTACTGCATGATGTATTCATGGGATATAGCGTGTATGTGATAGATAAGTCATCATGCTGATAAGAAATGGTGGCTATTTCCTTATTGTTTCCGTCATTGATGGTTCAAGAATGTGAATCACGGAAATATTTACGGTTCAGCTAAAGAATCTCGGTCTGATACAAAAATTGTTTGCTAAACATTCGCCCACCAGCAGCTATGTCACCCGAACGGTTATGATCTAAAATTAGCTAGAAATGTTATCATTGAAAATCACCGAATGGGTTAAACGATTTACATCAATTTCAAATAGATCAGACCATCATTAAACCCTCTATAAATTGCTAAAACAATTCGTAAACAAGGGGAATAATTCTGAACGTTATTATCGAAATCCGTTCAACAGGACAGATAGCCAATATGACTTTCAGAAATATGTATAAATAATTGCAGCCTATATAAAGTGTTGACAATATTTCGTAATCAAGGGGAATCCCTCTGGAGATGATGATTGAAAACTGGTGAAAATTAAAAGTTTACCATTGCCATGAGATGGACAACCCATACAAATTTTAAAAAGTTATATGGATTATTATGGTCACTATTTGACAAATTTCTTTGACGGTCTCTTCAAATTTTCTTTGACCGTGTACGAAGCCAGCAAAGAAAATTTGCTCGTGTACGACGGGCTTTACGCTAACATCAAATGTTGGTTACAAAATGTTTGGGATGGACAAGGGGTGGAGACAATATACGACTACACTAAAATGACCATTTTTAAACTAAGTCAAAGTTTTAAATTATGTTAATCTGATGTCCTATTGAAATTCCCGTCTTTATTTGCCCAGTCAGGAGCAGAACAGAAGGACGTTGAACCTCATTTCATTTCATTTCCTATTGAAATTAGCAATGAGACTCACAAAACAAATCAACATAAAATTTATATCAACTATATTATGTTTGACCTAAATTACAGAGGGAATGTTATAACTGTGGAGAAAACCACCATTATATTATTCAATAGCCTGAGGTCATCTTGGGAAAATTGTTTCCTGGCCAGATCATAATTGTGGCCATGTTAATAGAACAGTGTAAATAAAACGATCCAATTATGACCGATTACCCTCAATGAAAATAAGATCGTGTATCCACCAATTACAAGGCTGGAGACATCGTTTGTTGACACTGCTTTTCTCCACCTCTCTCGCAAAGGTGATCTGTTATAACCCCAGGGCAGCTTTTTTTTCGAGTGTTAAGCAATAAAGGATTAACATTGAAGTGTCTTCAATGATTTATTTTACCAATAAGTAAGGTTATTAAGTGCACTACAATGATAGTTGTATTGGTATGTAAAACATACGGTCATATATTATATGGTATTGTTGTCGTTGTATAATGAACGTGAAAGAAAGAAACTTTATTGCATACATAATTATAGATACATAAAGATATAGTTGCAATAACATAAATGATTCGTATACAAAAGCTGCTACATGTTTGTTCTGATTGTCAGATTTGTTAATCTTGGAATATTTCATTCAAGGATTTGTGAACCTCGTGATATTTCAATGTTGATTTCGAGTTGCAGTTAATATAATATATCCATCTCCTTGCCCTGTACATTGAGTTTCAATGTACTATCTCTATCAACGGTTATCGACAAATTAATTAAATAGTGTAATAGTAATCACACATTTGAAAATAATAAATGCTGCCTTGATTATGGGGGCTATATTTACGCGCGTCTTGAAGAACACCCATAAAGGTCGAACTACCTCGTTCGTCCAGACGCTGGGTCCTTCTCACATTGACAAATCGCTATCGAGAATGGACATCTCTGGGATCGATTTCTGGCGTCAAATATGCTCATTCTTTCGCATAACATAAAAGATTTCTTATTTATGTATTCTGTTATATTTGAATAGCTAACAATTTAAGTATAGAACAATGGTCGTTCGAAATAAACTTACTACGACCGCAACACGTCTTTAATAAAACAAAAAAATGCTCTCGACCTTTTAGCATAGCACCTATACTTGAATGTTGTAAATGTGTTCTGTGAATTTATATCTATTTGAAAAATTTGGAAATAGCATCTGTGTTATCTTAATAAAATTCATTTTTTAATGTAAAGATAAGCCTTGAGGATGTTTTACCATATGACGAACACGCCTTCCTTTATGAAACTTAAGAAAATGTCTTTATACTAAATGTTTTAAATAGTCATGTAGATTACATCAAATGTTTTTACTTGATATGTCTGAAAAGGCTTATTTGATAAACAAGCAAAAATACACAATAAAGTGTGTTGGGGTTATCGAGGTTGTTGCAAATAACATTTTTTAGTAAAGAAAAAAAATATATATGTATAAAATTTTATTTACAGTGCATTGCTCATCCAAAATAGAAACGTGTTCTGGACGGATGCATCCAGTATAGAAACAGCACGTGTGAAAAAATAAAAAGTCGTTTCCTGATGGATGGGTAAAACTAGACAATACACACGTTATTCCTCTCTTCAGGGTCTATTTTTCAAAGTTGACTAGCTCCATTTTGTCAGAAAAACACTTGAATTAAAACTATTGTCTCTTGATCTCAATAACAGTCTACATCTCTTCTTTGGCATTTTTCATTGCATGAATGACGAGTATCTTTAAAATGGTCTAAAAGATGTTTAACTACTTACTAAGAGATTCATTATTTTGAGTTATTTAATGTGCAAATTAAGACTATTTGATTGGAAAATCAAAATACAACGTGACGTACTTGTACTCTGAATAACAGCTATAGATTCGGGGTCTTTGATATCGTGTCATAAGTGTTTATTTGCTGAGTAGAATGGTGTTACCATTGAAAATTGACGGACAAATCCCGGTCAAACCCAGCTTGAACACGGTTTCATTGGGAATGGCTTGCTTTTACATTGAAATATCTTTTTTTGCGAACCCAGTGTGGCCTTAATCAATATGACATCCAACAAGCTAGTAATTGAGTAATGTGCACCATAAATACTTAATTAGATGTGGCTATACTTCTATAGTTTTAAAACGGTTTAGCATGCTTTGAGGACGTTTTGGAGTAGCTCTTGCCATCAATAGAAAAGCTCTTACATCGCATTCCATTTATAGCACATAATACAAGCTTGCAAAAATCGGCTATTTATGGGGGTCTTGTGATAACCAGTGCTGAATATTACTTTATTCAGTACAAGACAAAGCTTAATGAAGGTTGACATTTTCTTCTGACTGAATAAATATCAGTATAGAGAATAAATAGTCTAGTTATCAATACTTTGTTTATTGGATTTCTGGCTATTTAGGTGATATGACCGACTTCTGCTCTTTTGTTCTAGTCTACAGCAAATGGCGGTACCGACCAATTACCATGTGAGCCTACAAGATTTTGGTTTTATGACACAGCATGGGTTTCCGTTGAAAACATTATTGGGCTGAGAATTTTAATGGAAGAAGTCTTCAAGCTGAGTACATTATGAGAGTTGTTCGTGGTTAGCTTTGGTTCACAATACCAATATTCTATGTTAATGCAAACTCGTTTTGACGTAGTAAAACATATCAATCAAAATGTAGCATTGCTATAATTATGACGAAATCAAGATTACTGCAAACATAGTGTCATGGTCATGTCGAAATCGATTTGTTTGTTAATTTCAGATCTAACAATTTATCAAAATTAGAACACCATGTAATAAAAATCCTACAGGGCTACTTCTTTTTTGTTATGTCAATGGGGATAATTTATTTTTTTAAACAAAAATATGTATCCTCAAGT